ATCAGGAAACGAAAATTAATTTTCCACCTGGTTGAGAAAACATATTTCTGCGGTCATTAATCATATTTTAGAAATGATCATTCAATTCAAGTACACGTTGCTGTCCCATATGGGTTTAATAATCTGTTCGTAAGAACCTTATACCTTTTTGTATGGGTTTTGTCCAGGCTTATAAAGTCATCCATAGTTATTCACAAATAATAGAATTTTTTTAGACAGTTGCATGACACATTGGATATGGATCCAATTGACCGCGCGTCGCAATGCAGCAAAATTAAAATTTATATTTTCCTCGACTAATTTCTAACTAGGAGTAGCGGCGATTAAGGGTCAATCCCACAGGGAGTGTGTATCAAATCGTTAATTTTCTTGTATTAATTGAATTATAAAAGCGATAAAAGAGGTGGGTTTGGATTAACTAAGATCCTAATTAAATAAATAAAATAAAAATAAAAATAAATAAATTAAGAGAAATTTCTAGTTCACGGTTCCGTCTACACCCTCGATTGACTCGTCTAATCATTTTTGGTATCAAATCTCGCTATCTTATGAAATTACTAGCCCTAGGTAACGACACGGTCTATTACCCAAAATTTTTCCTTATTTTTAATCTAACCGCGAGACGCTCTACGATTAGACCTGACTTCTTGTACAATCTACGATTAGACCTGACTTCTTATACAATCTAGAAAACGTTTCTTAGATTTAATACAATTAGCCGCTTTACGAATTAGAAAAATAGGCTAGACTAAGTAGTGAACTCAACCGCGTTCGTTCACTTAAAGAGGCCGTGTTATCCCCGGTAGTTACCATCTTCCGGATACCACTTACGAATTAAACACATCAACAATTGCTGATTGAAGGCCTAAATTCTGGTGTAGATATGTAAAGTCTAATCTAGGTGATCAATATAAATTAAACTCAACACATCATGGTGAATTATTCAAAATAACACAAACAATTCTAAAAAGATATTGAAATTATCAACCACGAAAATTAATCAAACATCATCAAATCGTAGGGTTCAACTTTTCTGGAACTAGAAATAAAAACTACTCTAACATACTAAATACGAAATAAAAAAAAAAAAAGAGAAGAATAAAATTATCTTTCTCGTGTGTGGGTGCGGTCTCCCTCCGCTTCCGTTGTATTCCTCAGCTTTCTCTCTGTTTCCGTGCGTGGCGGCTCCTCTTTTTCTCCCTGTTATCCGTGAATTCAGTCTTCATTTGTCCAAAGGAATTGGACTTTCATATTAATCCTGGGCCCAATCGTTTTCTTTTCTTTTCACGTGAGTAGAATTCCATTTCCAACAATGAAAAAATGACGCCCCTTAACTATCTCCATACATATTTTCTATTTAGACAATTACGCTCCATTTTTATTTTCATTTATACCCTTTTTTCAAATTTTTAATTATTTATCTTGTAATCGGTGTTTCAATTTCTTTTCCACAATCTTTTTTCATGTTTCTTCTTATTTCCTTCTTCTTTCTTCTTCTTTTCTCACACAACAATATTTCTCCTTTTTGTTTTCTCTCCTTTTTTTTTCTTCTTCTAAATTCAGGCAATATACTCTTTAAAAACAAAAAAAAAAATTGTTATTATTTTT